CTTCCAACCATATCGCTAGGTCACAAATTAAATTCTTAAACGCACCCACAAAACCATATATCATCAAAACAAAAATCCAACAGAGAATTTCGCAAATGGATTTTTTGCGCATCCAAATCAAGATTTTTCAAAACCTTATGTCCATTAGCATGGACGCTCCGCTCCATACATCTCAAAATCAAATGAAGATTCTTCTGATTTAATTGAAGAAGCAAGAAAAAAACGAAGAAATAAAATAATAAAATAAATGTTTAATTTGACCATTTGTTCTTTTGTTCTAGCTCATGCTTTGAATAAACATATACATACACACACACACACATTGGGCGCTCAATTGAGAAATATTTGCACAAGCCGTACCACCGCAAATGCGCAGTTTAGATCACATGCGTATGAGACTTTTTTTTCTACATTGAATCAATTGGGCCGATCGAAGCGACAACAAAATTCTAAAAATACGGAACAGAAAAACATGATCGATCGATGCCATTTCTAAGCGGCTTTCATCATATTTACATTTTCCCGCCAATTGGCGTCATTCAGTGGACCGATTTTTGTTTCTTTTTGTTTATCGTTCGCTGTAACCCAACTAGAAATGTTTGTGTTTTAATCAACAAAAAAAAACTGTTTATTTTGGGCTATTATTTGACGCATGTTGGGATCTAAATATAGTTCTGTGTGTGTCGAAAATAGACGAAGATGATGACGGACGAAAAGCAAAAAACGGAAATCACCTCTCAAAGTTCGGAGGTGATTTTGATGGATGTGTTAAGAAAGTGTTTCGTTGAACAAATGGGATTTTTTCGTAGGAAGTTCTCCCTTTTGTCAAAACAAAACAAAAATCAATGCCGTTCGGTTATGGACAAATAGAATAGACAACCGGGAAAAAAAGAAGAAACAGTTACGTGAGCGTAACAAAGACCAAAATGAAAAATCACAATTTCATATTGGGAGAGTGAGAGAAGAGAAGAGAAAAAATGGCAAAGAAAGTGGTGTGAACGTGCAAAACAAAGGGAAAAATTAAAGTGCCAGGAAGAAAGGGAACAGCAACAATAAAAACAAAAAGAAGAAGCTGAGAATAACAGATAGTCTAAATGATGCTGAACGACAACCGATGAAGACACAGTTAATGGCAGAATGTGAAACATGCGTGAGAACAAGTCGAAAAAAATTGTGTACCCGCTACAAATACACACATAGAGAGTGAGAGAGAGAGAGGGAGAGAGATAGGGAGAGAGAGAGAAGAACAGAAAAATATGGATGGATTCACAAAATTCTACCTGCTGCTTTTCGTCACTTATCTCACTCACTTGGTCGCTCTTGAATCACACTCCCATGCGCATTTGTCCATTTCGTCTACTTCTAGCACTTCGATACATATTATTTTGATTTTTCATTTTCCGTTCGTTGTGTTGTTGCTGTTGTTGTTTGCTTTCAGGCCGTTTGATTCAATTCGTGGTATTGTGAGAGAAGCAAATCTCTAACTCCGGTGTGCGCATGGATATGCCGTTTGATTTCATTGCATTCATCCGAGCAACACATCGGTTTATTTTGTTCTCTCTTCGTTCGCAACCAAAGGAAAATTAATTTCTTTTTCTTCATCTTCATTGGTGTGAGTGCCGAGTGTGAGTGTGAGTGTGAGTGTGTGCTGTGTGTGCAATGCATTGGCCGACAATCGATTAACCAATTGTTCTTGCCGGTGCATTGGTGAAACAGCTCCCACTATTTTGCGCCCGTTTTTCTTCACACTCTGATTCCCGGTCTCCTTTTTCTACATCATTCCAACCACAACGAGTAGAACATATTCGCTTCATCTCTTTTTATAACGCGTGTAATTTATTTCAATGTTATTAATGCTTCTCGTTCTTTTTTCTTCATTATTGTTGTATTTAATCTATAAAAAATGACTCGTATTTTCTGCTTGAGTTTCTGAAAAGGCTCCTTTTTTCCATCATTTTTACATTGAAAACGAGTCTTCATCATGATGATGAACGAAGGAATAAAAAAAGACGATGCTTGAAAATGTTTGGCCAGAACTAAAACAACAAATCAGCATCAGAATCGAAATAAATGATTTTTGTTCGTTGCTGGTGCGTCCAATTTTTGAGCTATATACAACTGATATTCCAGAGATTTTGAGATAGCGGCCGTAATGAAAACATTCGCAGGCAGTTAAATGAGTTTTTTGAGTGTATTATGTCCGTCAAGTGTGTTCGTGTGTAGTTTGTTTTTTTTTATCACTCATTAATTATTGTAATATTTCAACTTAATTAATGAACTTGATGGATTTTCACATAGCATATAACAAGAATCTCGTGCGATCTTCAGATCTATCTCAAATTGGATGACTGAAATGTCTAGCCCCGTGGGCTGTTGTTGATCCAAGAATAACGAACAACCACCGATGGAAAAACGAATGGCCGCAGATTCTGATCTAGAAACTAAAAGTTTTGGAAGCAAAAAAGTATTTTTTTTAGCTTGGAAGCGTCTGGAGTTGATCTTTAAATAGCATATCGGCTCAAAATCAACATAAGAAAAAAGAGCGATGCAAAATCAGACTATTCGTTGGCGCGTCTCACAAGATATTACCCTAAAGATTCGGTTCAATTTTTTTTTTCGCTTCCAATTCGATGACATACTAACTAGACGGTGAATCGATCATAACGTTGAACGTATTAACGAAGAGAGAGAAGAGGAAGAGAAAAAAAACACTTGCTAGAAAATCAAACGGTTCAACATGCTTTGTCTTTGGACAGTGTGGAGAGAATGAAGCGAAGAAAAAAAAAAAAATGATGACTCTCTTTTATCGCACGTCTCGCGCATTTCTACATTTGCCTAAATGTGCTAAGCTATGGAATATAGACAGTTCGCCAATTCCATACACACGACCACGACGACGACGACGATGCAGAGACGAGAAGCCGAGAAGCAGAAGAGAAAAAAAGGAACAACACCGATACTGACTGACGTGCTTCGCATACTATGCGCGTCGTGTTGAACGTTCTCTTTTATTGACTGTTATTAATTATGATATATCCATATGCACTCAGCAAAATAGCGTGTACAATAGTAAATTGTGTTATTAATGTATGTGGTCGGTTGGTCATTTTGAATTGTGTCTGTTTGACTGGATTGATGTATTTTTCTCCTAATCGATTACTTGAGAGAACTTCGATGAAACAAGAGAGAGTGAGAGACAGAGAGACGGTTGGTTTGCCGAAAATCAATTGATTATTCAGTTTGGCGAAAAGAGCAGGTGAAATTTCGGTTTTTTTTTTTCATTTGGTCGCGTTTTTTTTTCGGGACATTGATAATGTGCATCGTGTTTTACATTTAATTAAGTGGCCTGTGTGTGAGAGACGCATCGGGTTAATCGGAGTACAAAGGCTGTATGGTGTCTGGTGCAAACATCAAGCACCTTCTTTTTGATATAATTTTATTTACGTGCGCAAGCAAAGAGCATTGTTTGCATGGTTTTATGTAAGCCTTCAATCAAAACCAAATCGCACCACCACAACAACAACAACAACCAATAAACACGGTTACAACTTAATATACACACGGTGGCCGCCGATGAAGCAAATCAAGTTAATGTCGATCGTTCGCTCTCTTCATCGAAATGATTATTTCGTATGATTTGTGCGGCCGATGGTAATGTTAAAATATGTGTATTTTGCTATTTGGTGACATACTTGCATTCCGATGTGTTGATCGAAGAAAATCAAGGCCTAGAAAGAGATGTATACATAGTATTGAACGATTGTTGAGGCTCCGGTTTGCCATTCTCAACGGAAAATTATTGATTCAGTCAACGAATGCGCGTTACGTGTGTAAGCAAGTAAGCAAGCAAGCAAGTATGAGAGAGAAGGAGATAGAGACAGAGACTGAACGAGATATATTTACATTCTGTAGTTTATCATTTCCATACAGATGCGAACGATCGCACGCATTGCATATTGAAATTGTATGTTGAATGTGATGCGATATGTGTCGATATTTTACGTAGCAAACGAGCTAATCGAGCGTACAAGACACTGGCCACCGATTTGCACTGCATCGACATTACATATTGTGGCCGATCGATCGATCGATCGATCGATATATGTGTGGATTTGCATTGGCTGGAAGGTCTGTCGCATTGTGTGAACACAGTTTTTAATACAGTCAATAATACAAAACAAAAAATTATACACCAGCCAATTGAGAAAAAGAGCAAGAGCTCAGAGTAAACGAGAGAGAGAGAGAATACATAAATAAAAATGGTATAAACAATATGGTCTGGTAATAGAGTGTCACGACAAGCATTCACCATTAAACGAATCGCTTTGAATAGCAATATAATAGTCACCACTAAGTAGTAAAAATAAAGAAAACACGAAAATCAACCGAATGTCGACGAGAGAAGAAAGAAAAAAAAACCGCTTTCACAATTTATTATTTTGATTTCTTGTATCTGTTGTGTGTGCTTTTCTCTCTCGGCTGTAGTTTTGTAGCTGTTGTGTGTGTGTGTGTATTATCATTTATTCATGATATATCCATTTCGGTTACTCTCTCCATAGATTGTCACAGTATTTACTGGTGCGTTCCTGCTCTCTTCTATCTCTCTCTTTCAGTCTGTCGTCTGTGGCATTTTTTTTTTCGTTGGTGATAGTATCGGTTTTGTTTTGGTTGTAACTTTTTTTCTTCGTCTCTTTCCCTCGATTCGATTGTTGTTGTTTTTCGGTCCGAGACACACCGAAGACAGAAAAAAAAATGTGTTTGACAAAAACGACACAAAAAAAACACCGATTTACTTCAACACTTCGCGAGTGATCACAAATCGGCATGAAAGTCACATGTTTGCTGAAATCTCATTTCTCGAGATCGGCTAGTTATACATATATTTTTTTCCATCTTCTGTTCAAACCATTTGCATTGCGTGCTTGTTTGTATTTTGGCTTTAAATGTTCAGTTAACTCAGTAAGTGCTTTCTTAAAGTACAAAAATGCAAAAATATTTACCTTTTTTTTTGCTCTCGAAACAAGTGCAATGATATTGTGTGTTGTGTTGTTTTGGTTGTTTCTGTTTCTTTGCTTGTCGTGTTTTTATTTTCTGTGTTCTTCTAAAAGTGAACGAAGTGATTTTCTTTTAGCTCACGTTGCCGTTAGATGTGCATAAAATTCATAAAGTTGTGGTATCCCACAAGGTGGTTCTGATTTCTTTCTAAAAATTTTTTCCTCTCTTTTCGAATCGTCGGGAATTTTGTATTTTAATTCCAATCGGTCAATTCTAAATCGAATTGTCTTGAGGTGTTTCTTTTGCCGTGTATGCGCACACTACGATCACTGTGTCACAGCATACTCACTTGAACTTCTTTTGATTATCAACTGATAAAACATCAGACTTGTTTGGGATCAATGACGCGCGCGTTCCTCGGAATCAATTGTCAAGTAGCGAATTGACCGCTATTGCTAATCACTCGAATCGACAATTGAAATTCTTTCTTTTCGCTTTCGATTCTAAAATTAAAAGACCGTGTCCTTTACTTCGTCTCTCATTCACCATGCACAAACATGAAAACACACATTCTAATTTCACTGTTTTTGGGTTTTTTTTCAATTTGAATGGCTAAAGTCTATTGATTCGTCACCACTGAACTAAAATTCAATCCAAGTTTATTGTTCTTTTTCCAACTTTTTTTTTTTCACACAAATGTTTTTTTTTTCTGCCGATTTCCGAGAATAACTCAATACTGTTTATTCACTAAACACGTATTGTGATTGCGGTGCAATGTTTTTTTTTTTCGATTTATTGTATCAGTCAATTTATACCTGCGCCAATCGATTGAATGTCAACCATGCTAAAACGTGTTTGTCAATGGTTCGTATTTATTTTTGTCGAATAGCGAAACTAACGAAAGATTCAAGTTTTGAAGCGAACAAACAGCAAAAAAAAAATCTTGTGTATTTGTCAGACACGTCCGACCGTTCGAAAAGTCATATCTCAACTGAAATGCATAACATTCAAAGTTGTGATTTCAGTGTGCGTACTACGATCCCCACGTTCAATTTGCCGCCAGTACCGCCGTCGACGTCGTCGCAACAACAACAAGGTATCTGTAGCGCTACATCAACAAGAGCCACAACTGTGAAGAGAGTAAAGTAGAGAGCGAACAACAACAAAAAATACGACAACAACACCGAATCCAACGTCAATGGAATGGTGTACAATGCGGTCGATTGGTCGGTCGGTTGAGCCTTACACAAAACCGATCACTTCGTGTCGCTCTTCGTTTCTTTCTTCGTCGCCGATATATATTGAAAAGTCACTTTACTTTCCGTATGTGGCATTAGAGACTATGCGCACAAAATGGAAAGATTTTACACGGGAAAATCCGAGCCAATGCTTGGAATGAAGAACATTCCCATCTTCATTGTAATACTAAGCTAATAGTTTATCATATTAAATTGCGTGCTTTTTTTGGTTGAAGAAAATTGTGTAAATCTTTTTTAATTTTTTGCATTTTCATGATTTTCTGATTACTTTCCTAACCGTTAATCGATTTTTAATTTACTTTAAAAAAAAAAGGCAGTTATACATTCATTCAGAAACAAAATCCACTTGTTTCGCGCTAAGCAGACAACTAGAATCAATCCACTCTATGCGGTGCACGTATTCCGGCACGGTAACGTTACTATCGATGCCGCTTTGGATGTATGCGCTCGCTTGTTGCTTGGTCGCCGTGTGCGTGCTGTTGCGATTTGGATTGACGAAAAACGCATGCATACAAACGGAATACCTGTTGCTAATTGCATGCAACACACATATCGTACTTACTTAACAAGACGCCGATGTGCAACGGTGTTTCGATTATCTACACAACTGAACAAATGATGCATAAACTCTCTCATCGTCGTCGTTGTCATCGTCATCGTCGTAGCGTGCTCATTTGAAAACCCATGCGAAACAGAATCCAGTGAAGCGTTTCGATTGATTCGCTTTATAATTTTTTTTCATATAGTTTTTGGTCTTCATCAATTTTTTTTTTCTCGCGCTCTTCATATTCTGTTTATTTTTTTTTTCTTTTCGCAATATAGATATTTTGTGTCTCTTTGTATTGCAGTTTAATTTATGTACATGAAAATCGGTGCATTCGATGTGTGGTGTTGCAATTCAAAACAAACAAAAAAACACCGTAGCAATTCGAATAATGTGTGAAATCTTGCAAAAGAGATGAGCACAAAGCGCAAACCGAAACGAGAATGAGAAAAAGATGAGTGCTTCGCATATACGTTTTTTTTTTTAATTCATTGATGAACAAGAGTGTCAAGATAGAATGAATAAAGACAGCAGCGGCAGCAGCAACGACGACGACAATAAAAAGCAACAACAGCATATTGATGGAAAACACACAATCCAAACTGACACTCGATTTGTTTACAATAAACGATTGAGATTTGTGAGAAGAGTTGCTCCATGCATATCGATTTATTTGCACAATCATCGTATTCCTTTCAATCTTCTTGTGTCTATTACGTTCTTATGGCGCTTTCAGATGATTAATTCATATATATGAAGATATCATTGTTGTGTATAGAGGCCGCGCGCGCACGAGTACACACATTTTTCCGATGAGAATTCAATTGATATTGAAACATTGCGACTTAATTAATTAAAATGTGCACATTCGCATAGTTTTGTGTCCCCACTCGATCTCATCATAAATATGTGATGGGAGCCGAATCCATTGCCATAGAGATATGCCTTAACTTAAAACGTAAATTGATTAAATTCTCAACGACATGCTCGAAAAGTCCGTCTATAGTGACCGACCGATTGCATGCAATACATTTAAATAGACACAACAGCAGGCCGTTCTGCACACATTCAGAACAATATGAATGAGTGAGAGAGTGAGAGAGAGGGAGCCGCCGTGCCATACGCGCGCGCGCATATCACGCATTTTTGATTTTATGCATTCATCTGTGTATGAAAAGAGGCGAATCGAAATGAGCAAAACGTCGAAAGTGCAGTGCGATTGCTGCAATTTGTTTGCCGTATGAAATTGAAGAGAGAAAAAAACGGAGAGAAATAAACAAGAATCGTCATTCAATTGAACAAGAAACGACCAAATCATTAAATGAATGAAGAAAAAAAAACGAAACAAGTTGACTTATTCAGTCATTCCAAGGTATTCCACTGCGCGCAATGATAACTGCAGCAAATACCACTTTACTCATTATACACTTTTCACCTTGGTATTTATTCTCCACCGTGTACAAACACACGCGCGCGCGCGCGCGTTCACTCGACTCTCGAGCAAATCACACACAATATTTCAGATTTTTCTGATTGACCAGAACTCTCGTTTGCACTCAAACTCGATCGCAAGTCGGAGTCGAAAAATTCTTCTCGCTCTCTCCGTCTCTTTTTGCTCAGATTAAGTAACTACCAGAGGACTCGAAAATACCATTTCATTGCACATTTTTGTACGTATTTGGAAGTCAATTATTTCGAAATAGCACTCGACAGAAAAGACTAAGAAGCCTTCGCACGCTACGATTAAAATATTTTTCGATTGAGACTTTAAAAGTAATTCTTAACTCGTTTTGTGAACAATCATTTTTACAAAACAATAAATAACAAAACAAAACAGCAAAAAATGACCAAACGAACGTCAAGCGAAACGGTAAAGTGAATTGATATTTGAAAGAAAAACAAAATTAGTTTTAGATTCTAGTTGCCAGTGAAATCGATCTTGCTTTCAGTTGGAAGAATTTCAAATTCACGTTGCGATCGATTGCGTTTCTTCACCGACCCAAACGAACGAAAGATGCACATTGCACAGTCAATTGCCCAGGTGGGGAGGGACAAATTCAAGCATAGTCAGAAATATGTTTCTTTGAATTTTTGTATGTTGGAAATGTGTTTGTCCGCACAGCACAGATTAACGTTATGAAATTGATGTGAAATAGCAAAATATCGACCTACAGCTATAAATTATTGAAATATGAGGTGTTGATGATCGAATAGAATTTCAAATTCGTTGGCTCAAAATGATGAATGCACTTTGAAAGTTTCAAACTTCACGTTCATCGCAGAAGACACGTCGGCACAATGAATCTTCGTTAGTTTTCGATGAATCTTCATAAAAGCACCATCGATTTTTCATCATATTGTTAAGCTAATGATGCATATGCCAGAAAAAAAAGGCGATCGCCTTCGTTTGGCTGAGCGGCTAAAAAATTGCGTGCGAAGCTCGCGTTTGCTAACGAATTTGCATAAAAAACATGTGATTGTGGCACGCCATCCAAAATTGACACCTTGAATTATTAGAACAATTTAATGCTTCGTCTCACATTTCGTGGAGTACTTCTAATTTTGCACGGTTTCATTTTCTACTTTCACAACACACATACACATAGGCAGAGAGACTGAGACGTAGGGTGATCAAGAGTCCACTTTTAATTAAATAAACCACTTTTCTGAAAAAAATACAAATAAGTCATATATTCATATCGGAAGTTTTTTTCGTGATCTTCTCAAATATGATATAAAAACCAACAGTTACCCTTCAAAGTTTTGCAGAAAATTAGTCTATTTGTTCAATTGTTACAATTTGGATGGTTTACGATAGATGAATCACTTCTTATTGTTTATATCCCACGTTTATGCTGGAGCCACATCATTTATTGGCCGCAAATTCCAACGGTTCTTTGACGTTGACCGAAAATGTGGTGTATTTTGTTGTTTGTTTTTTTGCTAAATCAGAAGGAACGTGGATTCGATCGGATTGCATCTCATGTGTATGTGAACGCACAATTTTCTCATCATGACAACAGCGACGAGCTCTTTCGATGCGAATGGCAGGAAAAAAAACCAGTTTAAATTTTGTAATCAATATCTTTTGTGCGCAAATGGCGGCGGTTCCAGAGATGCATACGCTGCAGTGCTTGTGCGCGCCCATCGCGCCTTCATATATTCGATTCATTTGGATTCGATATCGGCAGAAAATATCGCGCCATGCCGCGCGTGTATGCATTTGGTAAGTGTGGTTAAAATGTTCGAGTGCCAAAACCTGATTCGCATTGGTCGCATTGAGCGAGCGAGCGCAGCTTCGGTTCTATTTCTTGCCATTTTCGTTGGTTTTTCAGTTATGGACCGATTATGAAATAAACTACCGGATAATTGTGTGATAGGCCCCAATGGGATGAAGTTAAAACCGTCTCATGTTGATACGCTCTTAGACTCTTTCAGTTTGGTGGAATTGCAGGCCAAAATAAAAACCAGTTATTTGCCTGACGTTTCTGTGTTTTTATTTTGCGTTTATTTTTTTTTATTTTTTTTTCATTGTTGATTGGAAAAAAGCTGCCTTTTCTATATACTACTTGCATAAATGCAGTAAAGTTCTTCCGTAATGTCCGCCGCAAAGCAAACCACAAGTGAACGCACGACTGTGATCTCTCTCTCTCTCTCTCTCTCTCTTTCTCTTTCTTTTTTACGCGCATAAAAAAGTGTCATTACATAATAATGCCTTTACAACAAAATGACGATCGATGAAATCGATCATCTAAATCAATAGCGTTGCTCCAAGCCAATATGTAATTTCCGATGCGAAAGGAGAAGGAATGGAAAAAAGCACATACACACAATTATTGCCCGCACTTCTGCGGTGTATAACTGTATTCGATCTGGTGGATGCTCCACAAACTCCAAATCATATATTCACGGCATTCCACACCATACAAGGTTATTTTGCACACTGCACACGGCAGCCAACCAACCAACCAGCCAGCCAGTCAGTCAGCCCAAAAACCCATCACACCTTACCAATCGCATCGATTTATTATTATTTTTCAGTTTATGGTTTGCCACATGCAAACTGCTCTGCTCTGCTCTTGCCGCTTCGTGTACAATATTTTCAGTTGAAAGAAGGAGAAAAAAATTATTGTCTGAAGGTCAGAACGATTTGTTTTCGAACCACAATTCATTATTTAATATGTAATAATCTTAAAATGTGTATGAA